TTGGCATTTATTCTGGCCAAGTTTGTAGATACCCCTCCCGCTCTCCCTCCCCCTCCTTCTCCCTCCAGCTACTGTTGGAGCTACCGCATCAGCTTCTGCTTCAGCTCATTTATCATTTTTTAGTGTGACAAACAAATAAAACACAAAGTTGACAACACTCAAAACGCTCATTTGCTGTCATTTGTCTCAGACTCTGCTCTGCCTCTGTCTATAGCTGTCTGTGCCTGTCTGTCTGTTTGTCTTTGTTGCTTTTGTTTTAGGCATATTTCTTGTTTTATTTATTTGTTTTATATTATTTTATTTATTTATTTTCTGCTGTTTTTATTTCGTTTTGACTGGCATTTAAGCATCAATTTCAAATCGCATTTCAGCTGCCGTCTTACGCGTGGCTGATTTTGCGCCAACAATCGCTTTATACACATGCGTACACTATAAGAAATACGTGATCAATTTAAGAGAAATGTATGCCTATTAAATAGTAAAAACGAAAATTTAATTTAATTATAATTTGTAAATAAGCTATAGATCGAGCGAATTTTACAAGCTTTGAATTGATATATCATATTCAAGTCGCAGTTGATTTGGTTTTAAAACATTTCTTCAAATTTTTTATATAAAATTCCATTTTAATTCATATGAAAAATAATTTCACAAAATTTACTTATTATATTTAAATATTATATATTCATGTTTACACATTTTAATGCTATAAGTATTCCCAATTTCATTTAATTTTTGGGGAATATACATATAAATAATTTTAATTCATGCATGAATTCGCCGCCAATGAACCATTAAATATAATTCGAATATTTTAAGTTTTATTAGTTTTGTTTATCGCTTTTTAAATTTTAATTGTATTAGCCAATTATATCAATTTGGTACATATATTATTTTTGGAAATTTTTAATTAATATTTGGAAAATTACATTTCAATTTGTCGATAAATTTATTTATATTTTTCTTAGAGATATTTTTGATTTTTTTATAAATTTACAATTTGCTCTTAAATAATAATTTAAAAAAATAAAAAATAAAATAAAATAAAATATACAGATTTTCTACAAGTCCAATTTAATTAATCCCAATACTAACCCAAGCTTATTTTCAATCATATCATATCAGGAAACTCTCCTGTATGAAAATAGCCCCAAAATCTCTTGCACTCGCCTTATGTTTTGTACTGTGCAGAGCTGCTCGACTGTCTGTCCGTCTTCAGATATATGCGGTTTATTTCACAGCACATAAATTTCAAGTATTACAGTTGCATTCGGTCTGGCCGAGACGGCAGCAATCACAATTACAATTTATGAACCAAATAATATGTATTATATGTAATAAGTATATAAGTATATATATAATTTGATTGTGGCAGTCTGGCTGCACTTCATAAACAAAACAGTTTCTCGATCTAACTAACCGCAAAATGCTTAAGTGGCGAGCAGCCACTAGACAGGGTCATAACAGGAAATTTCTGACTGACTCTGCGGGTGGTTCAAGTGGCAGCCAGAGCGAAAGGTGGTGGCAGACACTGTAGCCGGATGGCTCGAGTCACTTGCTGAAAATCTAATAATGGCCTGCCAGCCAAGACGACGGCGTACTTCTGCCCAACTCAAGACAAACTTGAACCGTTTATGAAGTAGGCGCATCAAGTGAGAAAGAGACAAGCAGCGAGAGAGAGTAGGAGAAAGTAGGGCACAGTGACAACACCGCAGGATACGGAGGACCGCCTTGACTTAACCATTGTGGACAGGCCTCAAATTGTTTGGTGATTTGTTGTAGTTGCGCATTTATGGCCTGGTCTTAACTGTTGCCATATTTATCAATGGTGCGCCGCTCACTAAGTATTATTAATAGTGCGGTTTAGTGTGTGCGTAGCTCAGGGGCCATTTCCATTTGTTGGCTCATAACAATTGCGCCAATTTACGCTTATCATTTATCACTGGCCGCAAATTAACACTGAAAAAACACACACAAAATCACAATCATATGACCATGACTCGTACAATTTGCATACGAAAAAAAAAAAAAAGAAAAACAGTCGAAACGGAAAAACAATCAAATGCTAATTTCCAATGTAATTTCCCCGAGCCACAATAAATTTAGAAAGACAAAGGCGACACATCTTAAATACAACTTACACGGAATCATAAAGAAGCGCCGGCCACATACAGCTTAAATCTGAAATAAGATCTTGCGGTGGCGTATACGTAATCTCAGCCGTTGCACGACTCAAATTACAGTTTGTGGTGAACAGGAAAAAAAAAGATCATTGTTGTTGTTGCTGCGACTGGTGCTGCTGTTGCTGCTGTTCTACATAATGCGCATAATAATTTTGTTCATTTAAAACGTGTTGGCCAGCCAGACAGCCAGACGGGCAGACGGACAGACAGACAGAAAGACTCTCACAGTCACAGTAAAGCGCTTAAGTGTGACGCGTCATCATAAATAAAGAGAAGAAAGATAGAAAAAAAAACCACACACACACACACACAAACAGAGACACAGAAACAGACAATGGGAAGTCGCGGAATAAACGTAGCGTTCTACAATGAAAACGGGAAGCTGTTTAGCTAATTGCAACGTTTCAAATTTCGTGTGTTGCATAACAAAACGCTCCAAGTGACAGACAAAAAGCAACAACAACAACAACAACTAAAAAAAAAAAAACAACTAAATATCAAGCTCATTTCATTTGAATTTTGTGACACAGAACGTATCAAAAATCAAAAGTGAATCACGTCTGAGAACTCTTTGATGGGGAGGAGCTCAAGCATGCCAAGGTTTTCTTCATCTTATTCTTTATTTATTTATTTATTTATTTTATTTTTTTTTTTTTTTTTTTTGCGGCTAACAGGAAATCATGTGGGGCTAGGAAGTGATATGAAGCGAATAAATACCAAATTAGCAATTGAACTAGCAGAATTTGTGACGATTAATTGCAAAGTATAGATTAAATATATATACAAAGAGATGGGAATAGATAAACATAGGTTATATAGGCTAACCTAATTTATTGCTTACCTTTGTTCAAGTCCCTTAGGTCGAACAGGAGATATCTAGATGAACCAAAGTTTAATTTCCACTTTTCCAATTGACATTTCTATTGCATTTTCATTACTGACTACAGTGGTTATTCTATATATAAATCCTATATTATTCTATATGCAGTTTTCCCCTCATACCCACCTTTATCTATACATTGGTTACTAACCAAATGTTTATGCTCATGCTCAAACTTGTCAACAATGCTACCTCTCCAATATTTCACAAATTTCGTGCGAAATTAATAATATTTTCTCAGCATTGCAAAATATGTTTCATCATTTATCTTCTATGCGCAAATTCCATTAAAAATTATTTAATTTATTATTTAGGCCCAAGCAAAGTATCATTAATTCATCAAATTGGACAATGTGAGATTGCTGAATGTTGACTTTGAATCTCAAAAGGCAGCTAAATCTAAGCAGAGTCCAGTCATATTAAATATGTATAATATATAACAGTGTAACCATGGATACTTTACAATGCTTGCAAATGTTCGTTCTGGGTCGCATAATCAAAGTTGAAGTACTTCATTCATATGCATTTCGTATTCAAGCTGAGGCTTTGGTTTCACGTTTATTTTAGGTATTTTAGTTATTAAATTAATATGAATAATATTAATATTAAAAATAAACTTACTGAGAAAAATTAGCTTAAATATTTTTATAAAATTTATTTTGAGTTAGCTTTAATTTATTTTATTCAACAAAACAATATTATTGTTATAATAAGCAATATTATCGTTTAATTTCAATAAAACTAAAATTTAATTAGTATTTAATTTAAATTTATTTCAACCTAATTTTTATCAATTTTTTTTTATATATATACTTAAATTTTTATTTTATTTTTATTTGAATATTAATTTTAGCTTAATTTAAAATTTTAATTTTTAAACTTATATTTATTTGTTTAAAACTTGTATAGAATTTTTTTATTATTTTGTTTTCTTAATATTTTTTTTTTTTTTTTTTTTTTTTTTTTAATAGTTTAACAATTTAAATATGTAATATTTCTAAAAACAATGGGCCTCACTCGTCTTTTTTAAATTTTAAATTTACGTCAGAGCAAGTGAATCATATTTATATAGCTCAATTAAACGTTGTCTATTGTTACAATTTATAAGGAAAATGAAGAACACCAACTGGCCGTTGTTTATATGATATATTTCTGGCTAGTTGTAAACAGATATATCCGGATACATATCTGTTTTTCCATTTTCCGTGAAAAACCACAGCCAAACAATGAAAATAAGCAGCATATGCAGTTGCCTAATGAGGCGACTGGCTGGACAAACAACAATTTGGGGACACAAGCGTGCCTGAAATTGTGAAGGAGTTGGTTGGAAAATAGAAATTATTTGGCACACAGTGCGTATGATTAATGCAGGCGCATATTTAATCATTTGTCATGGGTCCGAAATGACAGGCGAGTAGCGTAGATGATGTAACAACAAACGGAAAAACAAGGGACAACAATTTGAGGGTTTTTCTGCCAATGAAATTTAAGAGCTGGCCAACAGTTGACAGCCTAACAATTCGCATTAGATAAGGGGCGGGCTTTGGATGGGGAGGATGAGGAGGATGGGGAGGAGGAGCAGGGTCAGGGGGAGGACCAGTTGGACACAATCGAGTGCAACTGACAAAAGCAACAACATCATGGACCGCCACGCCCCCTGCCCTAACCACCTTCAGGCTGTGAGCAAACAAAAAGAGCCAAACTAAAACTAAACTCATTTAACTTTTGCCGTATTTTGTTAGCATTTCACCTTGCCCAACAACAACAACAACAACAACAATATACAACAGGCAAAAAAAAAGAAGAAAACTGTTATCAAAATGTCATTCATTCAAATATGTACCTAGTCGCCAAGCATCGTTGGCTGCGTGGCTGCCACCCAGCTCCATTGTTGATTCTTATTATACAATTTGCCTCTTCTTGCCCTCTACTTGCAGTGCCCACCGACAGCATCAGCAGCAGCAGCAGCAGCAGCAGCAGCGCATCCTCTACAATTGTCATAGCCGCGGTCACGCCGAGCAGCATTAGTTCGAGCGGCAGCAGCACTACCGAATCGCTGCTGGAGCAGCAACAGCCGCAGGGTAAGTATCTGGACTTAGCTAACACCATAATCTGTTCTCGAGAAAAAAAAAAAAAAAGGAAAATCCAAACAATGCCTCCTCCTCCTCCGCCTTTTCTATTTACAGGCCAGTGTCTGCTGGATGGCATTTGGGTGCCGGAGACGACGGTGCACTGCGAGAAGCAGACGAGCTGCCGCGCCATTCAGCGCACCGGCCACTGCTGCCCCGATTATAAATGCGGTAAGTTGTTGCCACTCGTTGCATTTATGCAAACTGCTGCTGCTGCCGCATCATTTTAGGGCTTACCTTTTATTTCTGTCGCCCACACAGATTGCCAAAAGGACGGCAAGACTTATGCGAATGGCTATAAATTGGTTGATCCGGATACACCCTGCACCGTGTGCTATTGCAAAGGTAAGGCCACACCGAAAATATGCATTGTTCTCGATGAAATCAAAAAATAAATGCAATTTCAAAATGCCGAAAGAAAAAAACAATCAAAGAGGCAGCAGTGAGTTGAGCTGAATCCAAGCAGGGAAGTTTTTCAAATTTTCATTTCAATTACGAGCTATAAGCCATGCCATGGCTTTTTTAATTTACTTAGCCTCGCATCTATATGCTCATTCAGTTGAGATTGCTTGACTATAAGATATCCCTCAATCCTTCTATAATATTGAAATCTGTATTATCTTCCTTGAAATGTATTTAACTACAATATTAAGCTTTAAGTTGGCAATAAATCAATATTAAAACAATTAAGAGTAGGTGAAACTATTTGACTGAGAGATGCCGTGACCCACATGATGTGTTTATATTGCAATCATTCTCAGCTTCTATATAAGCCTGGCAAATTATAGCTCTTTAGAAAAATCTCAAAATTTGACGAAAAATAATTTTGTATATAATAAAAAATTAATAAGTTAAGACAAAAAAAGTATTTTAGGTCTATAAATTCTGATTAAAATATTTTATTTTTACTTCATTAGTTAAACTAAAATTTAAGATAATTAAAATTTATATTTGTATATTTATAAAAAAAATATAAATAAATAGTGTACAATTTTTTTTATATATATATATATTTATATATACAAAATAATCAGTTATGACGAAGAAAAGTTTTAGGACTGTGAATTTTCATTAAATATTTGTATACCCTTTACTTATTAAAGATAGGAAATAAGGGAATATTTAACTTTTTTTATATACAAATATTTTTACATAAATAGCTTGAAATTCCTTTTTGATGTTTTTTTTATTAAGTTAAAGGGAAAAAAGTAATATTTGCCTATCTGCCCGTAACATGTATTCTCATAAAAACACTATACCTTGACTTACCGTTTCATATAGCTTCAGGGTATACAAATATCTGAATATTTTACAGAAGGCAACTTCTATAACTTTTCACTTTCTCAACTGGTAATTTGCCAGGCAGATTTCGCTCTTTCTTCAGCTTAACTTTTTCTGTACCTTGGAAACCCGTTTCCCGTTTCCCGTTTCTTGGTTTCGCTCAAGGCAACTGCAATTTATAGTCAATCGCATAATTATGGTAACATCTCATTACAGGTGGAGAAATTGTATGCAGCCCTGTGACCTGTTTCCGGCGCGATGATTGCATGCCTAAATACGTGCCCGGCCGCTGCTGTCCGGAGTACGACAACTGTCCCAGTGAGTAGAGCACTCCGATAATAACTAATCTAGACCAGTTGCTCACAGCCGTTTCGAATTGTCTGTTCCGCAGTTCTTGACAACAATCCGCCGCTGTCCAGTGAATCGAGCAGCGCGGCACCGTCGACCGCGAAGCCAGCGCCGGCTGCGCCGCCCGCTGGTTTCAATTGGAATATAACCATCAAGGAGATTACCAAGCCGACAGAGATACGCATAACTGATGACAATCACAAGGTCAAACAGACAATACCGACGCGCAAGGCGTCCAATACCGAAGCACCGACAGCAGCAACAAGCGCAGCAACAACAACAACAACAATAGCAACAGCAGCAGCAGCAACACCCACTGCAGCAGCAGCTGTTGCTGATGGCCCAACAGCAGCAACAGATATGCCGGCAAGTGAAACAACAACAGCAGCAGCAGCAGTTGCAGCCGCTGCGGTGGCTAGCACCACAGCAGCAGCAATGCCAACGGCAGCAGCAACAGACTCGCCGGCAACACCAACGCCTAGCCAAGACACAAACCCGAAAGCACTTCCAGTCAATGGCAGCGAGAGCTTAAAGCTCATCGCCTCAGTCGGCTATATTGAGCGCCCGCTCTCGCATAACAAGCCGCTGGTCACCTACAATTCAGACAGCTTGCAGCCGCTGGCCGAGAACGATCCCAGCAAGGTGAACATCAAGCGGGAGTATACCACAGAGGGCGTGGCCGGGCTGCTGGGCAGCAAAGCTGAGGCCGTGCCCATAGGAGCGAGCTCCATATTTCTGCAGAATGGCTTCAGAGATGCGCTCGTGGAGAATGCAGCGGAGCTAGAGCCGGACACGGCGGGCAGCGACAACATCTACCACATCATCTCCACCACAGAAGGACCCACCAGCAGCAGCAGCAGTAGCAGCAGTAGCAGCAACAATCCCAGCAGCACAGAGCGCACATCAATCTCGAGCACAGAGGGGCCCATGCAGTCCACTGACTACAGCTCCACATATATCTCAAATGTAGCCTTCGAGCAGGAATCGACTACGGAGGGGTTAATGGCCATCAGCAGCAGCAGCGAGGTGCCAGCCTCGAGCAGTGCGCAGCCCGTGCATCACATGGAGGAGGAGGATGTGCCGCAGGTGGAGTCCAATCCCGCTTACCCCTCGCTGCCCGAGGACGATTTCAGTCTGCGGGATGTCAACTTTCCGCTGGTCGAGCTGGAGGAGATTGTGGAGGCGGAGACCAAAGATGAGCAGCGCAGCATTGTGAGCCCCTTTGAGCTGGACAACAAGCGCACCAAGCTGGTCACGGAGAGCAGCTTGGATGCCAGCGGCAATGGCAGCGGCGCCGGCAGTGGCGGCGGCAGCGGCGACTCCGAATTCTATCTCGGCTCGACAACCGATCATATGTTGAGCGCAGCAACCAATTTGGAAAAGGCCACCGTTCTGCAAGTGCCGCTGATGTACAGCGCCGAGGATAGCTCCGCCGAGACGCGCATACAGAACGTTAACGAGCTGGCCAAGATCAGTGCCAGGCAGACGGAGAACGAGACCAGCGGCGAGCTGGACACGGGCAGCGGCCAAGGGGAACTGCGTGAGCCAACAACGCCACGCGCCCAGCGACTGCCCGCCGTGGACATAGACGAACTGGGCTCCGGCTCAGGCTCCGGCGCTGGCCAGGCACAGGGCGCCCAGGATCCCAAAGCCGATGCTGAGAGTCTCAAGTTGAACGAGAGCCACGAGCAGGCGGACAATGTGGTTGAGACCAAGGCGACATCGCGTGCCGAGAAAAGTTTCGTCGAGCAGCGAGCAGCGGGCGCGGCACATCATCTCGAGCGTCTCTTTCTGCAGCGGATATACTGAGAGTGAGTGAGTCGAGGTAGCACAACTAAGATTTTGGTGTATATAAATACTATATGAAACATAGCAGAGCTGTAATTGGAGGCAATTACTTCAGTAGAGGGAAAAAGAAAATGCAAGTGCTTGAGTAAGGCGAAAACCTAGCTAAATGCCATGATAATTCCACTGCAATTATCAAGTAATTGAAATATTACTCAAGTAATTGTTGTTTTTTTTTTTTTATTATTATTATTATTTTTTGTGTAATTCTCATACAATTTAGTAATTATTATAGCTCTAGTACATGTAAGAATTGTGTATCGATATCGATAGGCAGTTATCGATCATTAAGTGCGCCGTCTGAATGCAAAGTGAGCGAAAAGTCCTAAGTTTAAGTAGCAAGAGCAATATTAAAGAAAATCTAATTTACACCGTCTGCAAATTCAATTCTTAATGCAAATTCAACTTAAAATTTAACTAAAATTAAACTAGAAATTAAGCATAATTTAGCAACAACGACAACAACAACAAAAACAATTGAACTAGCGGTAAACATAAAGCTGGGCTCCCCAAATGCAATAAACATATAAATATAAAATAAATAATATATTTTTAGCACTTTGCACTTTGTGAAATTTGCTTAGTTATATAATTTATTTATTCATAAATAAATACACAAAAATAACTAAACAAATTTAAAAACATTTTTGTATCTTAAGAACACATTTAACATTGCCGCGCCCACACACACGCACATACAAAATTAATACACATTTTATTTAACTTGTTTTATTTACTATGAATTTATTTAATATTTAATTTATTGCATAAACTATAAAAAAAAGAAAGAACTATGGAACGCAAAGCAAATGCTCTAGTGATGTTTTTTTAATGCAAATTATATAGTCCTCTTCGATTTGAAAAGCTTTTAAGTTTAGACTGAATATTGAAAGTTTTAATTTAAAGCAATTACTTTAGTTAATATTTAAATTTATTAAACAAACAAAAAATAAATAATTACTTTTATATATATTCAGAAAATTCATTTAAATATAAAAAAAGTGTCAAAGTGCAGTCATTTTGTTAGTAACTAATCTAATTCAAATATATAAAAATTAAAAAGTAAAAAAAAAAAACATAAATAAAACATAATTTATTTAAGCTAAGTAGTGTTAAGCAAACATATAATCGCACAAATTGACGGAAAACAGAAAAAAAATTATATATTAAAAATGTACTTTAACTAGCGTAAATTTAGTTTCAAGTTCATTTTCATATGTACGAATAATAATAAAAATGATATAAATATATAAATATTAATAAAACCATGTATGTTAAACATATTTGTCATTGGTAAAGTGAGAGTTGGACGCGTGAGAAGCGCATAGAACTCCACTCGAAGGAGAAAACAAGGTGAGAGTGAATAATGAAATATGAGAAGAAGCTGCATTGTACTAAATGAGAAGCGTGTAGAAGAGCTAGGAATTAGGTATAAAAGAATAAGCTGCTTTTCTCTTTCCTTGCAGAGGAGACCATTGCAAGGATTGACAAAGTAGAGAATGAGAAGGAAATTATCTTTCTCTTCTCATGTACACAGTCTGCAGTCTCCTACGCGCTTCTCACTCACTACAATTCACTCATACGGGTGCGTAATAGTGAGTGAAACGTAGAAGAGTCTAGAGTTGGAGCTGATCGAATAGAAAAATATATGCATGCAAATTTGATTGGATTGAGCTGAGAACATGAGAGGAATATAAAATTTCGTCGTTCGCTTAAATTATATGTGGAATACATATACGTATATACAGTCAACTTATTTATATATATTGCTAGGTTGACAGCATAAGCGTGTGAAGCTCTTAAGAGAGCGTAAAAGTGAGTGAAAGGCATTTTAGAAAATCGTCAAAATGCAGTAGAGTATAGAGGATCACTATGGCATATCTGTTTGCGGATGAGGAGTGAAAGGGGTACGGATGCTTAGCAATATTGAGTTATTTGGTAGCTAAGAGCATGAGAATCTAAGAGAGGCGATGTGAACAGGAGAAAACTTGAATGGCAACAACATATGAGCCACTTTTAAGCATGAGCATGAGAAGCGCATAGAATAGCGCTGTGGCACAGCTGTTTAGTTTAATGCGAGCAAAACTTGAACTGAAGATGATTCGTGTACGCACACTTATCCTAGCAGCAATTGCGCAATTGAGCACACCTACAGCAACAACAGAAACAACAGCAACAATAGCAACAAAATTCCACATGACTTTTCATTAAATATGCAAGTGCATGCGGCGGCAATTACCAAGAAATTAAATGAACAAAACGTAGACAACAAATATCACGACAAAAGCCAACGACGACGACGACGGCGACGGCAACAACGATTGCATCACAACGGCAACAGGCAAAAGTTGCCGCAGCAGCAACAGCAGCAGCAGCAACGGAGACCGCAGAGCAGCGCTTCGGCTGACGCCGCAGGCAACAATAATGAAAAACATTCAATATATTGAACTGTAATGAAAAATACACTTAAACAACAACAACAAACAGCAAGTCTTATGCAATAAGGTTGAGGAGCTGGCAGCGAACTTTTGGTTAATTTCGTATGCGCCGCGGGATACCAATTGGAGAAAGTCTTCGACTGCGTCTTCGTGCCGCTTATTAGACCCCGAAAAGCACTTTCGATTAGAGGAGCAACTGGTTTGTAGGAGCTAGACTTTCGCTTCGGCTCGAGCTAGAGTCAAAGTTAATGGGAATGAAAGCAAGTCACATTTGTAATACTTAAATAAGATTTTTTGTTTTTATTAGTTTTTAGTTTTGTTTTCGGGTTTGTAAACTTAACAAAATGCAAATATCCAAATCGCATGATTTATGGGATTGCCATTAATTGCGTCCAATTTGATCGACCTGCGTCTGCAGGTTGTTTATCACCTCCGATGGCACCGTATCGCCGAGAATGTCGAACAGATTAATGCGCTGGTTGCCGGGTATCTGCTCGTAGGCGCCCAGCTCGATGCCCTCCTGCACGTTTTGGATCTGGGCATCCTTGGGTATGAGCAGCGTCTGCTGCGCCTGTCGTATGGCCTCGTTCGAGTAGGCGGCGCCCTCACGGGTCTGTGGCAAGCAGCGCACGCTGCCAGCCAGCAGCAGCACGGACAGCACGGAGCACAGCGCGAAGAATTTCATTTTGGCTATTAACTGCAGGAGAGATGCGCGTTTCATTCAAGTTATTCAGTACGCCTTTCTTTTCTTTGGTTTCTTTTTTTCCTTTATGTTTTTGTTTCTTTATACTGTAAACACCATTCGCTGTCTTACCTGGCGCGTTAGCTTTGTTGTAATGATTCGGCTGCGCAGGCGCCGCACGCTTTTTATAAGCTGAGCCCGCGCACTGGAAGCGGCGCTGCGTCTGGAAAGTCGTTGGGCGCCCGCAAACATTTCGCTTGTTTATTTCTGGTTTTTGTTATTTTTTTTTTTTAGTTTTTTTCTTATTTTTCTTGGATCAGTCAAATACAAGAAAAGTAAAAAATGAAAGACCTTAATTATTTACCATGGGTGGTTTTTGGTTTATTTACTTTTTGCCAAGCGACCCATAAAAGTTGATTATTTTTAGAGCAGCCAAATAATAAAATTGTTATTATTGAGCATTTGACCACTCTTGTTGCGAAGGTTAAAGCATAACAGAAATGTCAAGAGGCGCTTAACCTTCCAATGCGCAGACAAGTTGTTGTAGCCATTGCTATTTGGTTCATTAATGGCCGCAGCGAGGCAGCATTAATGAAGTTGAACAATTGCGCACGGCTTGAAGAGCCACCGAATTGTTAATTGCTAACCAGCTATGGTTTTTAATATTTTTGCGTAAGCCGTCAACAGCAACTGCAGCTGTAATATTTTTTTTTCCATTTTTTCTTGTTTCTTTGGCAGCGCAGCGCAGAGCATATCAATATCCATATTAATTAATAAACGATTAAGTTTTTGGGTATATTACAATTTTTTGCACGTCGGAATTGCATAAGATATACATGATTAAGTAAGAGACGGTAACGCCATCTGTATTTAATAGGTAATTTGTCAAAAATATAAACTGTCTGTAAAAATTGTTTTCTGTTGAATTTGGCGGTAATTTTTAAATACGCGATAACATCTCGTGTAAATTGATAAGAAGTGTATTGACTAAGCCAAGTTGGCAGCTCACTACCACTTATCGCCAACCGCCACCATTTATTGTGCCGTGGTAACAATACCTTAATATTGCAGATTTTATGGCTTTGATTTTTTAACATACTTAAATAAGCAAATAATATAATTATATTTAGCATAAATACACTTTAGTTAACGTGATCACAGCTTAGCCGGTGCTTTTATTGCAATCGCACTGCTATAACCAAATGTATCGATGTATCCAACGTATTCACATCACTAATGTATTTGTGCACACCACAATTATTTAGCGATTTGATTTATAAATAATTGTATATTAATTAAAATAAACAATAACTATTTTTAAAACCACTGCTGTGCTGTGCAGGGCCGAAAAAGTGCACTGAGCAAGACATCTGAACAGTTCAGCTGCTGCCCGCAAGTCCCACAACCGAAACAAAAACTCTGCATTGAAACGCACGTGTACGAGAAGATGGAAGTAGAAAACGGCGAGGGGCAGGTGCAAGTACACCTGAAAACCAAACAAGAACAGTGAGTACTTGAATATTTATAGTTGGAAGTTATTATCAACAAATAATATTTCAGATATGCTGTTCCCGATGTGCCATACGCGATCGAAGGCAGCGTTTCCACCACGGAGCTGAATATATTTCTGAATGCCTTACTGCAGAATAAAGGCGCCGAAAGCGTTGATTTTGACTTTCTTGTGTTCGATGAGTATCTGCGCGGTCGACTGTGTGATCATCTGCGCGAGAAGGCAATCAGCTTTGAAGATTCCATTGAAATTGAATATGTGGAACGATTTCCAGCCCCAGAGCCACAGGATTGCCTGCTGCATGACGATTGGGTGTCTGCTGTGAAGGCATCCGGAAAGTGGATACTCACTGGCTGTTACGACAACACCTTAAACATATGGACCTACAAGGGCAAGCATAAGCTCACCATACCCGGTCACACGGCGCCCATCAAGGCTGTAGACTGGATATCACTCGACAATGAAAACGGCCGTTTTGTGTCCACCTCACAAGATCAGACAGCCATGATGTGGCAGTGGAATATCGCTTCGAACGCCGTAGAATGTGTATCCGTGTGTAAGGGTCACGAGCGTGGCGTCGATAGTGTCTGTGTCAGCCCAGATGCACAGCGCTTTGCCACTGGTTCCTGGGATACGATGCTTAAGATATGGTCAGCTGAACTGGAAGATGCTGGCGAGAGCACCGCCAAGCGTGCCAAGGAGAGCGGCGTTAGAGTAAGTCGGATTCAACCTAACATTAATATAAAAATATATATGTTTTAATTTTGTATTTATAGACGCCGCGAATGACGCTGCAGGGTCATCGAGAGAGCATTTCAGCCGTGCAGTGGATGGACAATAATACATTGCTAACTGGCAGCTGGGATCACACGCTCAAAGTCTGGGATCTGAACCTGGAGGGTATCAAGACAGAAATATCGACCAACAAGTCTATCTTCGATGCCAGTCACTCCAAATTGAATAACTTAATTGTTACTGCATCAGCGGATAAAAATCTGCGTCTATATGATGCGCGGACCAATCGTATGTCATACTTAAATGATGTCCAAATTTATAAAAACTGATTTAATTAATATTTTTCCCCTTTTCAGAGGGTTCGGTGGTACGCAGCACTTACCTGGGTCACAATGCCTGGGTGCAGACTGTGATGTGGTCCATTACAGAGGAGTTTCTATTTGTATCGGGTGCATATGATAACCAGAACAAGCTGTGGGATTGCAGAAGTCCCAAGGCACCGCTCTACGATTTGCTTGGGCATGGCGAAAAGGTTCTGGACATTGACTGGTCGAATCCCAAATATATTGTTTCTGGTGGTGCAGATAACACTGTGCGTGTGTTTAAATCGAGCAAAGCGACTGTTGAGAATATGGAAACAAAGTAAAATTTGGACATATACAAATTATATATAGTAACTGCTAGACGGCGCTAAGTTTAAATAAAATTACACTTTTTTTTGTCATAACAACTATCGAGTAAAATTTTTGCAATAACCTAGCTACCGGCGATATATTGTACACGCTCTTAACAGCTATCGATAACAATGCTGCATCGATATAAAATTAACAACAAAAGAAATATCAAGAGCGGTCGACCGCTTGTCTGCCTAACTGTTCGACAACGACCAGCTTAACAACAATTGTTGCAAATTTAATGAATTTAAAATTTAACAAGAACAAACAAACCGGACAATTAACGTTTGAAGTGCGACGCGTGAGGCAACGCTTGCCAAACAAAGAACAGCACAGCAAAAACAACGCGGCCAAGTGTGAAACAGCGAAGAAAGAAAGAGAGGCGAGAGAGTGAGCGCGACTACAGGGAGCAGAATAATTTTGCAGTGTTTTCGCGACGTAAAAATAATCAAATTTTAATTGCAAAAGGTGCGTATCGTACATTTAACCCCGTGAAGTTCTTTGTCTAAATTAACAATGTGCTAATGGTTCAAATTGTGCAATCATGCGAACGACAGCGAGGCGACAGCGACATCGCACCGAACGCGTTTTGCAAATGTCTGCGCTGAGATGATTGATTTTTTAACTGCATCCGCGTGCAAGCAACAAACCTCTGCATGTTTCTCAGTAAAGGCTAAAATTAAACACAACAACTAGGCGCTTACAGCACGGCCTTTGTCATGGCCAATAGCAAACTCCAAAGGCTGCTGCTGCCCCTCTGCGTGCAGCAGTAGCAGCAGCGGCGGCGGCAACGCTTGCCAAAATGGCCGCTCGTCTCTGCACCTCTCTCTGCACGGGTAGCGCGCTCCGGTGATTAAATTTAATCCGATGGGGATTTAAATGAATAGATTGTGGCATGAGGCTTTCGGGTTCTCAATTTTGTTCAGTTTGTTTGCGTATTGTCGCCACACAGCGAAACGGGTCAAGGACCTGGCGCAAGAAGCGTCAGTGCTGTGGCATCTAGTTCAATGGCAAATAATCTAGTTCAGTTCTGTGTTTAATTGTTGGCTCAAATGTTTTATGCCGTCACGACATTTCCATTGCAATGAATTGATTTTTTTTCTTTTCCTATTCGCTACGAAATTGCGCTTTTTATCGGGTGGCAACGCCAGATTATGAATGTCTGATATCTTGGAATTGGATTCTTAATCTCAGTTCTGTTCAGAGAGCTTCTTTTGTTTAATGACAAATAAAGTTGTTTCTATTGAATCAGCATTGAAGCGGTCATATTTGATCGATTTTGATTTTTCATTGCAGCCCTCCTTAAAGCTAAGACACACCATACAAAAAGACTGTAAACAACACCATGTCCTCAACTCCAGCAGCAGCGTCTGGTGCCGGCAGCAGTGCCACCAGCTCCAGCGTTGCGGCCACATCGAGCTCCGGCTCCTCTAGTAGCACTGCCTCCACCAACCAGACCACAGCCGCAAGCACACCCGCGCGCGGGCGTGGCGGCGCCAATACGAATGGCGGCAGTGCTGGCGCCAATGCTGCTTCGGGCAGCAACAATTCAACGGCAACCGCCACCAGCGATGAGCCGCGCAAGGATACGAAGTCAACGCCACGAATATCTAAAGCACTGGGCACCTCGGCCAAGCGCATACAGAAGGAACTGGCTGAAATCACACTGGATCCGCCGCCCAATTGCAGTGCCGGTCCCAAGGGTGATAATCTGTATGAATGGGTCTCGACCATATTGGGACCACCTGGATCCGTCTATGAAGGCGGCGTATTCTTCCTGGACATACATTTCTCGCCCGAGTATCCGTTTAAGCCGCCCAAAGTCACATTTAGAACTCGCATCTATCACTGCAATATCAATAGCCAGGGCGTCATTTGTCTGGACATCCTCAAGGACAATTGGTCGCCGGCGCTGACCATATCAAAAGTTTTGCTCTCAATTTGTTCCCTGCTCACAGATTGTAATCCTGGTAAGTACAATGTTAACATCTAATCCACTTTAATGTTAAATAACTTTTGATTTCTTTGCTTTTAGCTGATCCTCTGGTTGGCAGCATTGCCACGCAATATTTGCAGAATCGAGAGGAGCATGATCGAATTGCGCGTCTTTGGACAAAGCGGTAAGTGGTATCGTAGATACATTTATCGAGCAACCCTCAATTTCGATCTTTTCACAGGTACGCAACATGATGCGCAGATCCTAGCATTAAACACGTACCACAAGCTGCAGCAAGAAACGAAAATTCGCATATTATAAATAAATATATTAAAGTACGCTAACTATAAACTTAACATAACACACAAGGAGACAATTGCAACCAACAACAACAAAAGCAACGGCAGCAGCAACCAACCAACTAACAGTAGTAAATAG